GTGACAGTATCAGCAAGAGAAGGCGTTTCATTAACACTGCTGTCTTCTGATTAAGATTCTTTTTCAGAATTTTGAAATTCATCTGTAGAATTTGAGGGTTCCCAATCTTCACCTTCTTCTACTTCAAACATCAGATCTGAGTCAATATCATCCAACATTTCATATAAAACATCAGGATTAGCTTAAAACTGCACTAGATTAAGTCTGCGATTTGAACCTGTAAGAAAAGAAAATTATGTTCATTACTCATATTTGGAACTTTTACTATAGTTAGACCTGAAGTACACAATTGTGATATCAAGGTGTTTCAATAAATTTAGTACAAACTTCAAAAAAATTTCATGAAACCATTGATGGTACAAATAAATACAATCATTTGACAGTAATATACCATAAAGAAATATTTAAAAATACGGTGATAATACTTAAAAAAATATACTTACGTCGCGAAGCCATTTTCGATTATACACTGCTATTATCGATACACTTTCAACCCAAAACAAAAGCTAACTGACGATTGCGGCGGTAAACATGCACTTAAGTACACCTTTTACAAGCGAACGACGCTGGTCTCAATAGCTTCTAAGCATATTCTGAACCTTATGTACCTAAATTATAAGTAAGTCACAATTGTAACCAGACAATCTGTATGGGTTAAAATAAAGATTTGCAGAGTGAAAGAACCTTCTATTTTCCATATTAAGCCATTTTGCTTCTCTCAATTTATAGGATATTCTTTGGCGTCTTCTTATTCCATAAATTAATCTTAAACATGAATTTTGAACTTTTTGAATTTTGGATTGATAGTAGTTTGTATCTGAATAATTAAATATAGATAACACAAGTGTCTCACAAAGAAGTAATTTAATTTTTAGTGAAATAAAATGTCTAACTCCATAGATCATTTTCAAAGAAGAATAACCTGGTCGAAAGAGGTTATTCACTTGTTTTTTAAATCTTAGATTCGAATCTAATATTACTCCCAAGCTTTTAGCTTCTTCGTTTATTTGAATAAGTTGATCATTTGCTACGATACTAATATCTTCAGCAACTATATATTTCTTTAGTTTAGGACCAAAAAATCAGTACATTTGACTTAGATGAATTAATAAGAAAACAATGATCACTTGCATCATTTATAAAACAGTTTAGATCATTATTGATGATGTTAGAAGCATTTTGCACCTTATTTGGATGAAAACTATAATATACTTGGGTATCATCAGCATAAAAATGAGCTTTACAATTTTTTAATTTTTTTACTAAACTTGATGAATATATAGCAAATAGTGTGGAACCCAAAATTGATCCTTGAGGTACGCCGCATTTTATAGAGAGAATGTCTGAAAATTTGCCATTAATAGAAACTTTCTGGTTACGATTCAAAAAATATTTACAAAATAACGTAACTGCTGATGCAATATGATGCAAAATACCTAGTAAAAGTTCATTTATAGTATCAAAGGCCCTACTAAAATCTAACAAAACTAAATCTGTATACTGACCCAAATCAGTAGCTCCAATTATATCATCCACCACATGAAGTAATGCCGTTGTACAACTATACTCTTTCCTAAATCCCAGGTAATATTTTTAACTTTTCAATATATTTTGTTAGCTGAACTTCTACAGCCCGCTCAAAAACCTTGGATAAAACTGGTAAAATACTTATAGGACGTAGATCTTTATACTCAGTTGGATTTGACTTTTTTGGCAACACTTTCACAACGGCACTACCCCATGAGGTTGGAAAAGCATTATTTGTTAAACAATGATTAACAATATAAGTAATATATTCAATAATATGAAGACAACACATTTTAATAAGTTTTATACTTAAATTATCACATCCTATAGCATTTGATTTAATTTTAGAAAAAGTTTCCATAAACAAAAAGGGCATTAATTTCTGAAAACTGAAGTTTTTCATTAGATAAAGAAGCATTTTTATATTGGTCTAGTAAACGTTGAGGTGGTAAACTAGCAGGTATTGAATTAATAAAGAAATCGTTTAATTGATTAACATCGCCTAAGTTCTCTGGAATATTATATTTTTTTCCAGGAATAACCTTACTTTGTTTTAACATCCGCCACATTTGCTTTGAGTCAAAATCTTGAAGTTTAAAGTTAAAATAAGCTTTTTTTTCTCGCTTAATTGCTGCATTTATATAATTTCTCATATCTTTATAAAAACGCAAATCAACCTAAAGATTAGTTCTTCTATATTTTACAAAAGATTTATCTCTTGTTTTAATCATATCTTTTATTGGCGCTTTAGGTTTAGTAACTCCGGATTTTACTATTAGAACATGTCTGTCAAAAAGATTTAACAAATTATTTACAAGAAATGTTTTACCTTCTCATCAAAATTATCCTGGTCAAAAATTCTATAAATATAAGTCTCTCTGAAAATCATTTTCATTAAAATACTTAAAACTACGATATTCTATAAATTTTGGTTCCGTTTTATCAACAACTACTTTTATTTTACAAGCAATAAGTGAATGATCTGATATGCCGGAAGAGTCACAGACTAATTTTGTTAAGGTTATGTCCTCTCGTATAATAATCAAGTCTAATAAAGTAGCACTAGTTTCAGTAATCTAGCATATTGATGTAAAATCACCAACGGATAATAATACTCACTGAATCTTAAAGCTCATTAAAAAAAGTGTTTACATTATTGTCTGGTGCATTCATTATACACGACACCAAAAGCATAGATTTTATTTTTAATGTTAACTTTAATCCACACCTATTCGTAAGAGCATAAAGGAGTCTCTATTTTGTGACCAGAAAATGTATTACTAATGTATATCAATAAACCACCACCCCTGGGGCTCGATTCTCGAGATCATTGGAAAATTTTCCCATGGGAAAATATTCCACTACTTATATTCCCATAGTAATAGGTTATGCAATTCTCGAACGTGTCAGACTAGGCATTCCCATGGAAATAGTAGTTTCACGTATGTCTGATATTAAGTCCACGAATATTTCGAAACAACCAATAACATTAAAGATATTTTAAAATTTACTGTTGGTATTATTTGTATTTGTTGTGGTTTTTGGGTATCCGATTACCTACAGAGTCTCCGCGCTGGAGCAGGTGCCGTGCCGAGCAATCGCTATCATGATCGAGAAACAAGTGAAAACTTGTCAAGTTATTCTTAGTTTTTCTTTTCTCATGTTGAAAAAAGAAAAGGTAGCTTTTGTATGGAAGAGCAACGAAAGTTTTGAGAAACTAAGAAATTCATTAACGAAAATAATAAAATTTTCGAAAAGGTCTTATTAAATTTACTACACTCAATTTGTGTTATTTGCCAGTCCCTTATAGCAGCTCTCACAATTTCTAAATGATTTAGGAAAATCAGTTTATACAGAATTAAAAATAATATAACTACATAAATAAAATAATATCAATCTATAAATACGCCAAAAAAATGTTTTAACTACAATTTCACAAATCCAAGATATCCAATAATCTTTGGTTGTCTTAGACTTTCGCGTGGTCTTTCGTCAAATTTTCGACTTTAATGCGCAAACTCTAGTACAATTCCCATTGGAAAACACAATTTCCAATGCTCGTAAGCAGGGGAATATTTTCCCGTACTTCTCATTGGAAAATATTCCACCGCTTATTTTATTTTCCCATGGGAATAAAAGTCGAGAATTGACCCCCTGGTGGTTCGATCGGCTCTAAATATATTAAAATTATTTATATGTAAAACATCATCAGAAATGTCAATATTTAACCGAGTTTTACACATAGGTACATACAAAATATGTCAAAAGAATTATTTTCAATTAATAATTTAATATCCTGCAATTATGGAATACTGACATCACATTAAGACATCCTATATATAAATTAATTTTGTTAATAGGTTGCTGCTTTTGTACAAAATCCTAAAACAAAAAGAAAATAAACAAAAAAAAAATTATTTCCAAACAAAACCTATTAGTAAACAGAATGCGAAATTTATCTATATGACTTATTGTGGGTAAATTGCACTGCTGCTACCGAAATAATCTTAAATTTTAAAGTAAATTATTTTTTTAAAGTGAATAGAAAAATTAAAAGTACCCATAACAGTTAAATGAGAAGTACAGAAATGAACAGTAGAAAAACACTAATATAAATAAAAACATCTTTTCTTATACTAGAAAATTATCGACATCACTCATGCATCGTATTTTAAAAATGACACCATCATCATAAATCTTGGCAAAAATATTCCCATTATTAGTCCAAAGCATGTCCACTTCCAGTTGTTTCTGTTCATTAGTTTTTTTTTTTTTCTATACCAGCAATACATATTTTATTGAATGACGAAGAATAATTATTAAGGGATACAAGTGTTGCATTATCAATGTGATAATGTTGTTTATTAGTCTCTACTGACAATGCTTGGTCGCCACAGATTGCCTTTATTTGTGTATTCTTTGTATTCTTTACCTTGAATTTTTCTTTGTTTCTTAGGTCGGGTGCAAGATTTTCTTCTGATCTTTTTTAACTTTATTCCACAGAAGTTCTTTAAGGCATAGAAGGACCAACGTTTTGGTTTGAATTGGCTAGTAGCGCCCAAACTATATCGACAAATGCGAAAAATATTTTCTATGAAAAAGCTAACTTTTATTTTTTGTAGTAACACCATTAATTTAATTAGTCATGGTGACAAATCCAAATATTTTGTATAGTCCGGATGACAATTTAATTAAAATAAAAATAAAAATGAAACTAACACTACAAAACCTAAACTACTAAAATTATCTGTAAGAAACATGTAATATTTTATACATTATTAGTTGTAGTGACATAATAATTTTACTGTCTACGTGTCTTAGGAAATATTTTTATAAAATAACGGAAAAGGTTGACTTACTCCTAAAATATTTAATAATATTTAAACCTAATTTAATTCCAGTAAAAATATTTCTTGTATACTGCTGAATTACTAAACATGAGACCAAATAAAATATTTATATTAACTTTTTAGGTATCCTTGCTCTTCCAAGACCCTAGTATAGGCAACAGTGTAAAAATAGTAGTAGTAAAAATAATTCTGATAGAAGATCCTCAGTCAGAGCCTGTACTTAGTGTTAGCACTAATGCAGACTTAACCCTAAGGAACTTCTGTAAATGGCAGCTCGGACTTAATCCAGGTATGTATAAAATAGCAAAATAATTACTTCAAAAACACTATTCTGATTTGTATTTTGTAGGAAAAGACACCCATCCTCATCACCACGATGTCGCTATCTTAATAACCAGAAGAGATATTTGTGCAAGACAAGATGCACCTTGTGGAACATTAGGTGTTGCACATATCGGAGGGATGTGTAAAGCGAGTAGAAGTTGCAGCGTAAATGAAGACAATGGAATTACTTCTGCGCATACAATTGCTCATGAATTGGGTCACAAGTAAGTTAAGAGTACTAAAGCTTTCTTTTTTCGCACTACTTATAAAACAACATATTTTAGTTTTGGCATGATCCATGATACCGAAAAAGTTGGTTGCAAACGAAGAGAAGGAAACATCATACACATCATGACCCCACATTTCGAAGCTGATTCTGTCACTGTAAACTGGTCTAGCTGTAGTCGACGAGAAATAACACGATTTTTGGAGTAAGTATATTTTTTCAATTCTAACCACCAATTAACATTTTAGATTAACTTCTAAATAAAATATTTAAAATATTTATTTGCAACCTGTAGTATTACTTTTTCTAAACCCCACAAAATTAAATGTATTTTATTTTTAGTAAGGGCTCGGGTCAATGTCTCGAAGACGAACCAGATCTACTTGAAAGATACAAGTATCCAGATCTACCAGCCGGCGTCATGTATGACGCGAATTATCAATGTCGTCTACAATTTGGTCAAAAAGCAATACTGTGTACACCCCCCGATGAAATATGCTTACATCTTTGGTGCTCTATAAATACCACTTGTACCACTCTTTTAAGGCCTGCTGCTGAAGGCACAAACTGTGGAAAACATAAGGTAATTATAATTTTGCTGATGTTGTCCTATACATTATCCATCTTTCTCTTAATATGATTTCCTGTACTAAATTATTATCTTCTTGTTATTTAAATCTGCTTTTACCCTTCTGAAATGTCAAAGATTATAATGTTTCTTCTGGTTGCTAACATTCTTCACAGTTCTGCCTGGTACCATTTTTATTAAATTACATCGACTCCAAATGCTTTTTGTCCATCAACTCATTTGTTTTAGTGGTGCCACAACCGTGAATGTGTCCTCATGCTGGAACCTCCTAGTCCTATAGATGGAGGTTGGGGAGAGTGGAGCTCTTGGAGTGAATGCTCTCGTACTTGTGGAGCTGGTGTTTCTGTAATGTCCAGAGATTGTAACCATCCCACTCCTGCTTACGGAGGAAAATACTGTGTTGGCGAAAGAAAACGATACAGTATTTGTAACACCCAACCATGTCCACCCGGTGAACCCACTTTTAGAGCCTCACAGTGTTCGCAATATGACGATAAGATGTACGAAGGGAAAAAATATAAATGGCAACCCTATTTTGACGATGGTATGTAGAAAAGATTTCGGAAATAAACTAATTTCCTATGTTATAATCACACAATTAATAAATTGGTGAAATCAATTACTTTTTTGCATATAAATTCATTAATTTACGCCAGCATATTTTAGAAAGTGATATAAAAAAGATAGAAGGTTTTACTTAAATAATTAAAATTTGGAGTTTCTTAGGGGAAATTACTATATTCTTTCCATTCCTTGAACTAATATGTTTTAAAATGATACTCAGCCGTTTTGATTTCTAAACGGCACATTCAAATAGCTGTCAACATTACTGCACCAATATTCCACAATAATGTCTTTTAATTGCGCCATAAATACTACAAAAACGACAGACTTCATGAAATTAATATATCCGGAATCCAGAAATTGGTCCCATAGAAGCTAACGGATAGTAATTTGAATTTATATTTTACAGGCGAGCCCTGTCAGCTGTATTGCAGCGACGCTAATGAAACTGTAATCGTTCCTTGGGGGGAATACGCCAAGGATGGGACGCCCTGCAGCGTCGTGTCGAGGGACGTCTGCATTTCAGGTATTTGCAAGGTAAATTTATCATTTATGGCTATAAGAATCTGAATTCGCTGAGTATTTAAGTATGAATCAAAGTATTAGGTAGTCAAAGGAGTAGTTTTCTGTGGGGAAACGGTCGTTCGAATTATATATTTATTTATCTATTTTATTTTGTTATTGTGTTGAAATGGAGTAATATTTTCAGCTGCTCGTTTTTGATGAGTTTCTGTAAGGTTTCAAATAATCTCAAGAAAATTAAATTTTTACTGAAAATGTATGCTTTGCGTTTACTAATTATAAAAATTTTAATCTCAGAAGATATTGAATTTAATCAAAACTACATTTTTTAGATGAGAACTATGATTTATATATACTGAAGACTGCTGCAGTCTTTAGCCATGCCTTGTATGCCAATCAGTTTGTTTCTAATAAAATGCAGTGATCGACTAACGTTGTTATTTTGTTTTTAAACCATCTCTCGTTATACCATCTGCTTAAATTATGTTTTTGTAATAATAAAATATATGGCACGTGTCTGAAATTTATTCAGGGTACCCCAGAATATGTTTTCTTTAAGTTTCTACAAATTTTTTCCTATAACACCGCTTTTCGGAGATATGGTCCCACAATAGACACACCTGAAAATCTTTTTTTTTATATTTTCAAATTCCTTGGTATAATTTAATAATTTTTAAATACGATGGATACCAGATAAATATCCGTAAAATGGAGCATTTTAAACGCATTTGGCTTATTTAGTTTGCCAGAGATGGAATAGCTTTAACACAATAATGCTAATATTTTTACACCCTCCATGATAAAAACACAACAATAAATTAAAAAATGGTACTCTTGATCAATATCGATAAAATGACTTGTTTTAGTTTAAAATGGTTTTTTGCATTGGTGTTGGCATTGATAATTTTTTTCATCTGTCGAAATAGTCAAATTGTGATTTCAGCCAATCAATAAGTTTCAAAATTGTTAATAATTTTACTTCACAAATTTAAAATCGGTAATATTTATACTTGTGAGAGGCCAGTAACGTACACATATGCGCGAGATGCCTGCATTGCGTTTCGTCTGTTACAGAATACGTTGTTGTCGTATTTAGTATTTTTTCAGGCTATTACAGAAATTATATTACTATAAAATAAACAAATATTTATATGTTTAAATTAAAAAAACAGTTCCAAATATGTTTATTGTGTCTATTTCATACAAAAAATAATCTTTTTTAATACGTCTTGTCTTTTAAAATTGTATGTATTAATTTACTCGTCCCGCGGACTCGCGATTTTATCAATCGAGTTGTTTTCGTGGTTTTTCCAAATAAAATTTGGAGGACTCGCATCTGAAACATAACAGCACTTAGGCCTCACTAGGCCAATTTTGCATCCTCCTAAAGTGCTAGGCACCTCCTACCTCGTGAGCCAGCCCAAAGATTTAATGTAGTTGACATGTCGCTAAGATGAGACGTTAAAGGACTTTTGATACCTTTTATACATTCTAGAGAAGAAAGGAGTGCAGTAGTTTAATTTGCAGAACGTAGTACGGGTTCAAGAGGTAGACATTTTATTTATATCTCATCCCTAATGCTTATTTGCAGTTAAAATGAAGATTTTAATACACCTGGTCGGCCTAAAAAAGTTTTCGGACTTAATGCATTTAAAAAAACTTTGTTAAAAAACTTTTTTAAAAAAATTTGTTAAAAAACTTTGTTAAAAAACTTTGTTAAAAAACTTTGTTAAAAAACTTTATTAAAAAACTTTGTTAAAAAACTTTGTTAAAAAACTTTGTTTTACTTTCTGTGGATGAAATAGCCACTAAATGTGAGATCTATAGGTTTGTTCCAACAACAATCTTGGAACCATACACAAACCAGTCCACAACTTATTGTCGACGACTGATAGCCGACGACCAGTCCACGACCTGTCGATGATCGAGACTGAATTCGGAACTTGGTTATGTTGGAACACATGTTTCTGTTGTCAGACACACTATCAATAACGTAAAAGTAGAAAAAAACATTAACAGATATTAAATTTAAAATTTGGTAATTAATAAAAATTAAAAATAATTAAAAGATTTATAAATTTTGATTATTCGATTGATTAGTACATTAACTTATTTTATTTTTCTATTGTATGTAAGTCAGAATAATAGTTCTTTTCACTTTCTACACTCATTACTCATAAAATAATAGGTATACTATAAATAATGATAATGAATAAAAACTAAATTACGATTGAGACTACGATCGATGATGCTATCAAAACGAATATAATCACGACATTTCCAGAGTTGATCGTGATTTATTTACGAAGCTAACTTTCGTTTTGCGCATGTCTTGACAATTCGTTCCTATTCAGACCCAGGAACTGATTTGACAGCACAGAAACTGGTTTGTGATTAGGTTTGAGTATGTTGGAACACTAGGTTTTTGTATAGTTTTGAGTCCGAGCTTTGTTGGAACATCAAATCTAGACTGCGCAGAATCCCGACAGGACGTAAACCGATTTGCTATTGTGTTGGAACAAACCTTATACTGGAGTATCTGAGCGGACAGTATATAACATTATTAAAGAAGAAACAGTTATTGGAGAAGTCTCACATCTGAAAAAGCCCCCAGGTAGAAACAAATCCTTTATTAAGACTTGGGTAAAGAATTTAATAAGGCAAATGATACATTCTTTTTTCTATAGAAATTAAATTCCTTCACTTAAAAAATTACACTCACAAATAGAAAATAGCCCCACTCTTCCAAGTATACCATATTTTCATCTACAAAAAATATTATATTTTCATCTACAAAAAATATTATATGTATTAAATTTTCGTTACAAAAAAACGTGACAGAAACAGCTTTTTAACAGAGAATGATGAAATCATTGCGTAGAAACATGATTATTAAAGGAAAATAGCAGACGAAAGAAATCAGCATAAACAAATATTTTATTTAGATTAAACATGGTTTAATGATGTACGTACCGTAACAAAAATTTGGTAAGATACCCTTATCAAAATTAAAAAACAACAGGAAAAGGAAATCGTTTAACAATAACCCACATTGGAAGCACCGATGGATTTTTGCTAGATGGTTTATTAATGTTTGAATAAAAGAAAACAAAAGACTACTGTAAAGAAATTCAGCAAACTTCGTTATTGTTTTGGATATTGCATCTCCTATCACATTCGATTAAAAGTGTCACTATCTACAACAAGATGGAAAAAAACACATATTTCTAAATGACTTTATTCTTAAGATATTATTAGTCGTCCTAAATTCTTGAAGGCAGAATTACTCGTAATAGCAAGGCAACATAAAAACAAAATCAAAAAATATATTATAGACTAGATGGCCCGAGAAAAAAGAATTTTAATTCTCATATTGTCTCCTTACCAAGCAGAGTTAAATCCCATTGAACTGATCTGGTCACAATTAAAAGGTTATGTTTTTTTAAAAAATACATTTAAATTAACCTTACTTTAGATTTTGACGCCAATGCAATTTCACCTGAAGCGTAACATATTGAAAATAAAAAAAAAAGGTTATTTATGGTATTAGTATACATTATTGATGTTTTTAGGTATTCAGCAAGTTTAAAGAGTACAAATTAAAATAAATGGGGAACGATAAATAGGGCACAAAAAAATATACATACAAGGTGCGTCACGCTCAACGGGACGGAACCTGGTGGGTAAACTACGAATATTCTTAAAAATTCCTGGGGCACAAATTTATAACTCAATAAATTAAAATTAGTTTCATATACACAGGGTGTTTCAAAACATAATATCAATAACAGGTTATATTTTTTTAAAATGGGACACCCATATTTTCTCTTAATTTTAAGTTCTACTCTTAAAAATAATCTTAATTTAAAAAGATTTTTCTATTCCCATCTTTGCTAATTAATTATTAACTCGAGTAAACAGATAAGTAATTCGGCGAAGTTGATAATTCGTTTTTAATAACCTTCAGAAATTTCCCGCCGTAGGCTATAAGCCTAGCTTGCCTATTTTGAAATCCACCACTGAGAACAGTAAGAACAGTTGTGCAAAGACTGCAAAGACCATTCAGCCAACCAAATAATTTTTGGACCTGTCCCTTCTTTTGGCCTGACAAAAATGGTAGTAACAGACCTAATTAAAGAACATTCCCCTGTAAAATTCAATGAAAGATGGGATGAAACAAGAAATGCAGAGTTGCCAGGGAGCTTTTAAGATATCCTGACAACACTACAGCAAACAAATACTTGACTATGACTAAACAGAATCTGCGCCTGGTCACAGGCATTCTAACTGGTCATTGCCAAGTACCGAAGCATATTCATATATTGGGGCTGTCTAAGGAGGATGCACATTGGCATAGTGAGGCCTAAGTGCAGTAAGGTAACCCACCCTCCACACGTTACAGATAGGGGGAAATTAATAGAGCCTCTTCTTCCTATCCATTTTTCAGGAAATTTTGGGTTTAAATATGTCCTGACATGCGAAATATGGGCAAGAGCACCATCTAGCTGCAGCCACAGTTTATGTCTAATATTCAAAAGAAAGTTCCAGGAATCAATCTTCAAAAAGTTAAAAAAAATTATTTTACTAAAATGGCCATCAAAAAATAGGGCCTCACCAACTGTCTTATTATTCTACCATAAACGTTTAACGACCATCGGTTTTGTCGATTTACAGTTCGAAATTTTGATAAAAGTTAATATTTAGAATTTTACGACACGCCAATAATATTAATTAATTAAAAATTAATGAAAAACATAAAATAACAAAACCGTGGCGAGTAACATTTATTACTCAGGAGTGAGACATGTACAATATATAAATATAAACAGAAGGGATGTATCATCCCTAATAAAAATTTCTAAACTGCTTTTTCAGTGGATTAAGTCATGATCAAGTATTCTCAGTTACAATGTTGCTGTGATATTGCCACTGTCTATTCGGGTACTGCCCACTGCACTGGTCACTCGCGTATAGGTGACAACACTAATCATTTGTAGTGTGCATGTCGTACGCGTTTTATTTGTACATCGGCCTCCTTTTGACAGAGTAGGTGAGCTGTGTTCAGACCGTTAGTGTTTATGCCAATCGGCGTAGCCAGGTATGGATTAAAATTATCTGGTGGCGGCGAAGCCGCCACCCTACCATAAGTCGTTGCTTCGTCTTGTTGTTGTCACGGCATTATTATTATTATTTGTTTATGTATGTAAAATTTGCTTCTAAGGTTTATAAAATACTACTGCTAGTCATGGCGTAAATGGAAACAAACAAGGCGCATTCACACAAACACCTCCCACCACAGCAAGTGATTAGTGTTGTCCCCGATACGCTAGTAGCTGCCTTCTCCAGCTCGTCCATCGTCAATACTGACATGCATGTGTATGGACATTAAGAATGTGTGGTGGGGAGCAGAGGCACACCGCTAACATAAATACCAAGCTGTATCAGTGGCGGCGGAAAACATTTTTTTTGGGGGTGACCCATACAATACATATATAAGATGGAGATAAAAGGGAATTAAACGTAAAGAGAAAACATACGACATATGAGGTTTGATAAAATAAAAAATATAAATAACGCAAAAATATAGAAAATAATGTAAAAAAACTTACTAATGCAAAATCTGCTAATCGCAATGTTGCTTTCCAAATCGCCGTTTCTTCAAAATTAAAAATTATTGGCACATTATTCCAAGTCTAATTTCTGGACACGTAATATAGCCAAATCACTAAGTCTTATCGCACCCATAGTACTTTGCAAATTAGTTTTAATGAGTATTAGTTTCGAAAACGATCTTTTCGCACTAGCAAACGAGATAGGTAACGTTAAACATAATTGAAACAACGAACATCGGGAAAACTGCTTACAAGTAATCTATTTTCTGTTATAAAATACGTTGCTAATTCGTGGTTTTCTTGGTTTTCTTGTTTCGAATTTTATATGAAAAGTCGGCCTTGAATCTTAATTCTGCAGCTAAACTTTTAGGAAAATCAGATTCATATTTGCGCAATAATCTATCGGAATATCGAACGATTTTATCATTAGTTAGTTCAACAAACAGGGCAGGAGTTAGAAACGAAAAATGCTTCATGACTTCTTTCATGCTGATATATCGTATTGTTAGTTGATTAATTATTATATCTAAAGATTCATTAAATATTTGAATTTGGAATCTTCTCAAGGAATCTTCTATTCGGGAGTCAGCTACAAGTTCATCAAAAAACATCTTGATTTTCTTTTGTCGTTTCGATGTCAGTTTTGGTTCAATGTCCCAAGATTTTGCCAAATTGCAGGCTTCCTTCTCATAATCATTAAAATTTTCTGTCAGGCCTAATGTATTTTGTTTTGCATAACGGATTAGATCACATGCTCGTCCAATATCAAAAGTTGAACTTTGCAGCTGCTTTGAAACTAAATTTATACTTGCCAGAACTCTACTTTCAAATACAAGAAGCTAAATAAAATCATGCCTTTTAATTTTATTTTGGATGGAGTTAGCTTTGACTATATCGGATTGTTTTTTGCAAATTAAACTTAATGTCAACAGGCACTGCAACACGGATTTATACTTAATTCGTAAAGCACATGGGCAATCAAATCGAGATGCCCATCTAGTAGGGCATAGTTTTTTAAGAGTCTTCTTAATTTTTCCATCGTTTTATTCAACTCCTGCCATCGTGGCAAACTTTGGCTAAAGAACAAATAGATTCCAAGAGTCCATAAAAATGTCTGATTTCAGTTATATTTTGCACTGAATCATTTAAAACAAGATTTAGATTATGTGCAGCACAGTGAATAAAATCGGCAGTTATAATAATAATAATATTTACCACTCATGCCCTTAGCCTCTACATTTTTTTATATCAATCTGTAGTTCTTTCAAAGAATTAATAACCACATTTTCAAAATTTTCTGAACTTTTATCCTGCATCTCAATAAATCCAAGGAATGACTTTTTTATAGTTATACTTTTAGTACTCGTATTTTCGTTTAGTTTTAGGTTGACATATCTGGCGCACAAACTTTTCTGGAAATATCTTGAGTTGTGTCAAGGATAATTGAAAAGAAAGTGGCTCTTGATATTTCAGCGATTATTTTTTGTTTAACATAATTTGCCATTAGTGTGATCTTAGCATTTTGTTAATCGTGGTGCAAATATTTGTTGCAGTTTTTTTTACGTATAACATGAGAAATTAAAATCATTAAATATAAAAAATTTATAAAATAAATAGCTAGTGTATTAAACTACAAAAGAAGCTAACATTTAGTGGTAATGAAAAAGCTTTGCTAGGTTTATAGAATACTAGTGAAACTTTCAGAGGCCTAAAATTGACTGATGATGAATGGCGTTTATTGGAAAAAATATTAAAATATTTGAGATATTTTGTCTCAGCACAATTTTATGTGGTGAAACATACCCTACACTACCATTAGTTGTTATGGGTTTTAATTTATTGTTAGATAAATTACTAGATTTTTTGCATATATTAGATTCGGAAATAAATAGGGACGCACTAGAAGAAAGTATGATAAATGCATTTCAAGCAGGACGCGACAAAATGCTAAAACATTACAAAAAAAAAAACAAACTGGGTACATTGCGCTACCTCAGTCCTAAATCCAAGGCATAAACTTGAAACATTTGAACTTACCGAATGGGGAACATAATTAAAAGAATCGTCCGAACAAAAAGTGATGGATATGTCAAATTCAAATTGTAATCCATCATCTTCATTACCTATATCTGAAACTAAATGTGCATCTTCCTCTAGTGACAGCAATGATGAATTTTTATCATCCCTGTATTATCTATATGATAGGAAATCTGCTAATATCTCAAATCGCCAAGATGCAATTTTCGAATTTAAACAATATTGTCAGTCTGAAAGAGCCCCACGAGATATCAATATTTTAGAATGGTAGAAAGACAGGGCTGAGATATTTCCTAACCTGTCAAAAATAACGCGTGATTTATTAGGTATTTCTGCTACAAGTGTACCAGCTGAGAGATTGTTCTCAAAAGCAGGTATAGTTATCAGAAAACATAGAAGTAGGCTCAATGCTGAATCTACCAGGAATTTATTATGCCTCAATTCCTTATACACTTGCAGTTTGGAAAAAGACATTTTCAAAACCTTAACACTGAAATAGCCCCGAGTGCTTTTATTTTTCGTTATATTTTTATTTTTTAGTTAAAAGTAGATCGTACGATATGTATGTTTTTTGTATATTATTTTTTATGAATTTTTATATTGAGTTTAGACATTAAATGATATGAGATATATCTTTTTAACCGACTAATAATTCTTTAACACGGTGTCCGATTTCAATGATTCTTTTTTTTTTGTTAGAAAGGGGATACTTCAGGGGTGGTCCCATATCAATTCTATCAAAATCTAATATTAGAAAATCCTCAAGCTCTTAATTTTTTATGTATTTTTATCGGTAATTCTTTACCACCTTGTACGATTTCTATGATTTTTTTTAATAAAGTCGCAAGATTTAAACATGTTGATTGGGTGGTTAGCAATCAAATTTGAACAATCACCCAACCAATCAATCAACATGTTTAAATATTGCGACTTTATAGCTACCATTTTCAAGCATTTTCGCTAATAGAAAAGTTAAGCATCTCGTCGAAATAAACCTACTTACGAAGTTCCAACCTGTTATTAATTAGTAAAAAAAGGGGCGGTGGACTGTGGACTAAAACTGTTCTATTGAAAAAGGTTGATCTAGTTTGGTTTAGTCCAGATTTGGTTTTAATTTTCGATTAAAATTGAAATAATATAACTAATATTTTTATCAAACTATGCGTTAGCTCGGTAATCTTCATGACATTCTTTTGGTAACAGAGGCTAACTTAACCCAATAGAATTTTATCTGTCTAGGAGGTGAAAATGTTTCACTGCTTGTCCTAATGCAAAAATATCTGTTGAGTCATCTATTTTGGCAGCAAGTTTACTTTTACTTATAGGATTTATGGACAAGGAAAGTACATTTGACTGGCAGTCAGACCCTGTCAAAAAAATGTCCATTTCCTGACAAACAATTATTCGACACCTAAATTTAACGTGTTAAGATTGCTAGCCATATGGTCCGTCAGCTATTTATCCGTTCTACAATAAATATAATTGTTTGCTTTTGTTACGAACTTTATAAAAATACATAAAAAGACCTTAGGTATAATTTTTGAAATATATATAAACCCAATGACGGTTTTAAATGAAGATATTGGGGGGTGGGTTGGCTCAGTGGTTAGAGTCATGACTTTGAGATCGGAAGGTCTCAGGATCGAATCCCACCGTTGGCCGGAATTTTTTCATTTAATTTAATTATTTAAAATTAATTCTGATGCCTTGGTAGGATTCCCCACTCGACCATTCACTGTTGGGTTCTAATTAACAGTGCTGTTCTTAAAGTGGCGCTGGGAAACAGTAACAAAGCCTACACAGAACACGAGGGTAATGGCCGTAGTAGTCGACGCCGATGACACCAAATTAAAAAAAAAAATGAAGAGATAACTAAGGAGTTTAATTGTCATTATTTACATTTACGCAAAAATTATACTCTTTTAATGGTGCGAGGAAAATAAGTATTTAAAAAAATTAAATTAGAGAAATTAAAGCATATATTTCGACACTTTCGTCATTCATTTGCGAGATGTGACTTAATCTCGCCTTCCTCGCATGGGTTTAACAAGACTAAAATATGCATTTCGTCTTGCGCAAGGCAGAAAAAGAAAAAACTGGTTTTCCATTCCCTCGAATTCAAGAATAGCTACCCGCACGATTGCAACCTCATTGGGAAATTTGTGAATATCTTCAAAATATTTCTTATTATGCACTGCTTGCGCCAATACCCAGGGCCGCCGAGAGCCAGGTCGGGCCCCGGGACAATTCTCTACATCGGGCCCTGAAACTTTTCGTTTTCTAAAAAAAAAAAAAGTCCTCGCCTCGAAAAAAAAAATTAAATTTCTCCCTACCTCAATTACTTCTTCTTCAAAAAAAAAAGGTCCTCACCTCTACAAAAATATTTGATACCTAACTTCAATTATTCTTCTTCTAACAATCACATCACCATGCGGGAACAGAAAACACTATTGTCGGGCCTCCCTTACAGCGCTGCCGGGCCCCCATTTGAGTCCGGGCCCCGAGAATTAGTCCCGGCTACCCCCCCCTCTAGTCGGGCCTGCCAATACCTCAAACTCACACACATATAATTTTATATTTACAGAAAGTGGGATGCGATTGGGTGGTCGACTCGAAAACGGAAGAAGACGATTGCGGCATATGCCAAGGAGACGGCAGCAAATGCGACAAAAAGCACGGGGTCTACGATAAACAGAATTGGTCCCCGGGCTACAGGGAAATTGTGGTCATACCGAAGGGCGCTCGGAATATTCGAATAGAGGAAAAAGATCATTCGCCAAACTACATCAGCATCGGTAGCGCTCTCGCCAGAAGGTTTTATCTCAATGGAGAGCGGTGAGTATTTTTTAAACGCCTAAAGGACTTTTTGATTGGAGTGTGTACTCGACCGCCTTTGTAAGATCTAGAAACTTTTGATTGCCACGCAACATAATATAAATGCTAATGAGTTTTTTATATTAGTTCAACAAAATTATGTGTAATTTATTTTTAATTTTTTCTCCAAATTTTTGTGTCGCATTTGTTTCAAAGATGTTTTTTTTTTTTTGAAAATAGGCTTTTTAAAACAAATCAAAAATATTGTTTTTGATCACTAATTTTTTATTATATTTACGTAAATACAAGTGTCGTAGAAGAAGAATATAATTTTGTCTTAAACAAAAATCCACAAAATTAAAAAATTTATTGTTAAATATTGGAAAGACGTCCTTTTCTTAAAAATAAGAATTTTATTTTATAGGCTTTAGGAAGGATAGTCTTTTTTCTAATTTACCACCAAAAACCCCCATAAATCAGGGTTTTTTATTATTATTTTTTATACAGTGGTGTTTCATAAAGTTGGATCCATATTATAGGAATTTTTTACCATTACCATTAAATTCAGGATTTATTTTGAAATCGTTTAAATTTTTTTTAAATGCCTATATTTGAGAGTTGCTATTTTAAATTTTTAAACAGCAGAGGCAATTGCCCTACAAAGCTTTTTTCAAATCGAAATATTAAAAAAAAATCCCATATAAATCCAACTTTATGGAATACAGTGTATATTAAGTACTTATGATGAACATTTATATAAACTTATTCTTAGAATTATATCTGGCATACTGTCATTACAAATACGTGGTGTTCAATCCAATTCAAATCAACGAAAAAGAAATAAAGTACCTTATTTTTGGCATAACACTTTAAACAGCACTAATACTTTTATTAATTTATTTCGTTGCTTTTTCTAAAAAAAAACTTTTTTTTATGTTTTAATTTACAGTCATGTCCGGCGATTTATTTATTCATTTGGAATCAATTGTTGTGATACATAATAACTAAATATTACTATTACATCATTTATAAAGCAATAAAACATGAAATTATAGAAAACTTTTAAAGTTTATTACTTTGTTTTGTCCAAAAATTTTAAACTTTTTTGAAACAAGAGAATTAATTTGTGTGACAAATGAATTGGCAGCCAAATTCAAGTACTAAAGAGGATAGTGAATTCGTTCAATTTCTGCTGGGTTACCGTGACGTTACTCATTGGGTACTTTCAGCTGCGTGGCTACATCCCATTGAAAATGTAAATCGATACAACCTTTTTTTAAATTACAGATAATTTGAAGACATTGGCATAATAAGGTTACATGCCACATTAAATAAGTTTTGAGAAAATTTAGTTTTAAGTTTATTTTAAATATGTCAAATACAAATAAAAAAATTATTTATTTAAATTTATATTTATAAATATTACGAAAAATAGAATAAATCATACCCAGCTAGCACAAAAACATCCCATCTACGTTAATAAGCTGCAATTTTAGGCTCTTTAAGCTCGCATGCAATGTACTGTAAATGTAACCCTTATATCCCTGCAACTACCGAATGTCCGCAGCGGCAAGACTTTTATAGCACATCTCACAGAAGTTACAAAGTGAAGTTCGAAAAACATCACACTAGCACTTTTACGGTACTTACCCCGAAAGTTGCTCTGAAACGTTCTATTGATGTTATAATGTGAATTAGATCTACAGCATTATACAGTGTGTCCACGGATGGGCTTAACTATACTTGTGAAAATATTTATTTTAAATTAAAAAAGTAATTCTTCATAATTTCTTGCTTGTTAAATAAATTCGATTCACATTGAGAAATTATGAAAAACAACTTTTTCTTTAATTTAAAATAAATATTTTTACAAGTATAATTAAGTCCATCCGTGGACACACATTGTGTAATGTAATACAGAGAGGCTGAAATTGAGGCTATAGTAAAATCTCAATCGAGACATGAAAATTTCAAATAAAACAAAATATTTATATAAATTTATTATTAAAATGTTCTTGAAATCAAGTACCAATAGCACAAAAGTAGAGTAGAGTAGGTGTAGGTGTGTTCTTTTATTCAGTGCTGTATCCAGCGCTTGCAGCAAACCGTTCGTAAATTAAGTGATGGAAAGACGATTGTATGTGTCAATCATTCTTTTTTCCAGCGGTGAATTCACCAATGAGCCAAGGCATCCATCGGCTTTAAAAGCCGATGGATATGTGATAGACGAATGGTGAGGATAATCAATCATTTAAGTTAACCTAAAATATAAGAGTTCAAATATAAAATGACTGCAGAATAGATAAATTACATCAATCACGGAACAATTATTGAATAAAAGAACACACCTTATATCACAAACACAAGTACACATGTGGGATAGAAGAAGCTACCTAGAAAGCACTGAACGATTGGACAAAATTAGCTAAATAGTATAAGGTACCAATATTGCAAAGGTTCACTAAAACCTTAAATGGTGAACGATGATAAAGCTAGATTGGTGAAAAATAATAAACGAATACAACAATGACTAGGTACATATTATTATATTAGATTACTAGAGGATAGCTAAGTTCGCTGATTTCTTACCTAAGACGCAGAGATATATCTTTTTTAAATCAAGCCTTTTAACTTTTTTTGCATAGATATTTATAAAGTGCTATAATGTAACCTAAATATGACAATTTATTAGAAGAGCATAAATTATATTTTTATATAAAAAGATTTTACTTCTCAATACATTGAATAAAAAAGAAATTGATAACTTGTTTATCTATTATAATTAAAGGAAATTATATAGAAATTAAAAAATATGCCTTACTTTGTTTTAAATAAAACAACCAATGTTAGTGTATTGAAATTTGTTTGAATTTTACAAATTTTATGCTTGACTTCCAAAGTAGATATATCGATGGCTCAATCAAAAACCGCCACAAGTCAAAAAACAAAGCAATTACATTTTTGGTTCAATGGATGCAAAATATCATTACGGTTTTACTTTAAATACCACCACAAACAAAAATATCCTTAAAGATAAATCATTTAAAATGTAGCCACAAACTGTGTCTAAAACTGCATCAATTCGAGTTATTTTCTTCAAAAACACCCAAATTTTTTACAACTATGCAACAACTAACTTTTATAATCGTATTCATTTTATTTAACAGCAAAATATCGAAGCTTTTAAATAAAATATAAAGAGTATGTCAAAAACAAAATAATGATAATAGAGACTTACAAAATTTCAAAATGAAATTTCTCGAAATAATAGTATTTTAGTTGTGGCAGTATTTGATTGAGCCATCAATATGTAGATTTTATAAAAAACAACTGGTGTTTTTTAGCAAGATATTCTATTATACTCGAGAGTATCATCTATGATTTCTCTCAACTTTTCTGCTGGGTTTTCACTTGACTGATGGTTGCATTTCCAGGCAATCTAGCTTGTTGAAGAGAATGAACTGCTTGAATTCTAATATACCTGACATATCATGTACCTATAGATTCACTTTTTATAAAACTTCAGGAGTTATATTCTTCTTTACACTTCTGTAGTATTTACTTTTGCTTCTAAAATTCCTAGAATGTCGAAGGAAACCTAAAAAATAATATTTTTAAAATGTATTTTTAGTTCGATAAAGTATAATTACCTTTTATAAGAATTTGGTGTAAAATGTTGCCGGACATTCGGTTAAATGTTTATCTTCTGGTTTACGATTGATCTGCAATTTTTTGTTTTTATTGTAGTTTTTTTTATTTGGTGTCATCGGCATCGACTGCTAAAGATACTTAATGAATGAAATAATAAATTTACATCAGGCATTGTAATCTGAAACAAAGACAATGGTTTAGAAAATAGTTATCTATTTTATAGAGGACCCTTACCAAATCTATTCGAATGTATAAATAATAATTATTTATAAAATAAATTCTGGATGTCGAAAAATAAACCATTAAAAAAGACAATTGACAAGAAAAACTGACAAGTGACATAAAACTAAACGTTCTGAATTCAGATTTGTAATGCTTACGGTAGGTTAACTAGGTAAATAACAAATAGAAGTTTTGCAAGGTTTTGATTTCCCTCAACAACTTCTCATGAACGTTGCATTTACGTTGTACAGTAATGTTATTACGTTCCTTTAATGCAACATCGCCGAAAGGCTTGGCAACGTTATGTGCTAGCTGGGTAGTTTATCTCATATAGAAGACAATATTTAAAACACATTTAAAGGAAAATTTGAACAATTTATTTGAACAAAATGAGGCTTACATCCTTGTTACCAGAGACAACAGAGACGTGTAACTTAATAGGAAAATTTGTTCGGTGGTCCATTTAAATTACATATATGACTTTCTTTCTCTTTTACATTGATATTTACATATGTTTATCTCTCTCCAATAAAACTAACACCAATCTAAGAGGTAGCTGATGTTGCTGGTTTTTTGACGTCGACGTATCGATTAGAACTGACAATGTTATGAATGTTGTTATGAACGAGTGCATTTTATTAAAATTAATTTGGGCCCCGTTTATTTCTTTGAGTCTGATTTTGTTGTTTAATTAATTTTCTTTGGGGGGGAATGTTTATTTTCGCATATTATTTTTTGCATGAAGCAATTTCTGGAACCAAACTCGCGTTTTTATACACGTTTCTTTCTAGAGGTAAATAATTTCCAATTTATTAAGAAAACCACTGTATAATGTTTGTGTTTAATAATATATTACAAAATGGCTATAATTATTTTAGCTTAATTGAAACACAGATCCATTGTTACAGCTACTTTTGTTCATTAAGTAGGTAGATGAATGTCTCTACAGCTTTAATGGCAGCACAAAGTTCCCCCATCTAGAAAAGAAGTAAAATGTATGCTGAGTAAAAAATATCTGCACATGTAGCAATGGCAAAGGACTTTTAAAATTATTAGATATTGGCTATTTCTTACATGTACCTACCTCTAATAGCCACTCAGAAGATTGTAGAGTCATTTAAACGAAGAAAAAAAATTGAATCACAAAAGGGCAGAATTTTAAATCAGGATGCATTGGAAAATAAATTGGGGGACATCAGGTCGGTTTTGGATTTTAGAGAGATCAATCTCAAGAAAAGTTGATTTATCCTTCAGAACAATCAGTAGTTTAAGAAGGATCTGCTATAACTTTATTAGAAGATTTCCTTGATAATAAATAGTAATATACCTACCAATTGTTTCAAATGAAATTGAAAAAGTTAAATTTGAAATTAGATTTTTCATGGGTAAAATGTTATATTCGTTTAAACATTGTAAGGTAATCAATCTATAATTAAGAGACAGGTAGGGGCAATGACAAAAAAAATACAAAAATGTATTCATCTTTAAATAGTGTTTATTATTAATATTATTATTTGCTATTTTGGAAAAGTACCTCCTGCTGCAGAACAGATCGAATAGATTAGACGACTAGTTGGAGAAGGTCCACCTAGTAACCAAATTAGGAGACTAGGAAAACTTTTACATGACTGGGGACACAACAGGAATGCACACGCACAAGATACACAAATAGACGTCATAACAGGGGTAAGCTTTCAGCAACGTCCTGTTGATATGATGATAGTATGTCATCCTTCATTCCCTTTTAGAAGGCATGGTATATGAATCTATTGATCTTGATGACCCTAAGAGGAGTTAGCAGGGGGGTGTACGGAATGGGTCTAGTAGTTTCGATCCAGTTTATAAGATGAGAACTTACTCGACTCAGGCCTTATACATTTGTGTGCTTGTTTCGTTTCCATGGTTTCTATCAAAATAAACAGTCACAACATATCGATACCTTTTTGCCAGACGTAAGTTGTTCAAATGGCACTTATGATAGTCTGGCAAAAAGGTATCGATATGCTCTATTCTTTATAAAATATTTGTTACATTAGTTTTTAAATATATTATGAATATATAACAACTGTTACTTTCTTTGTAATTTGTTACAAAATGATGCGAAGTACTTTCTAATAGTAGCAATTGTAGTTTGTTTTTGTACCTTACAAAAATATAATTTATAGAAAAAAAGTTTGGGGTGTTATTTTTCCAAGTTTAAATATTTAATAATTAATAGAATTTTCAAGTTTTTTTTTTTAGCGAAATTTATAAGAGTAATAAAAACTATGTTCACTGCATATATTAAACTGATTAAAACTTCCTTTATTAAAATGATTATTTATATGATAAAAATTTTTATGTTATTGGAAGCTTTTATATTTTTTAATATACAGTGGAACAATAGTTTTTGTTTCTCCTGTAAATTTGTATAGAAAAACTATTTATTTCTGAATCCATGTTTGAATTTCCCGCCCTAAAGCATTTTTAATTTTCCCGCTATTTACTAGTGGAGCCATCATAAGGTCTTTTCCTTTGCATCGAAAGTGTAGCACTGAGCTACACCACTTCTGAAAATATCGTTCCATTTATACAAATTGTATGGATGGAACGACATTTTCAGAAGTAACGTAACTCAGTGCTACACTGTCGATGCAAAGGGAAAGACCTATAGACTGGTTGTGGTTACAATCACCCAAACAACTTTTACCGAACAAAAAAAAAATACATTGAGTTACACGTCTCGCTGGGTTGTCTCTGTTGTTACTAAAAAATATTATATCCTTATTTAAGTTTACGCCACCTTTCCGATTAGAGGCAAAATATAATGTAAAACTTTCATAGGCTCATATAATTTCAATAAAACTATTGGAATGAACCCGCTACATCCAACAGGTAGCACGTACTTACTCGGCTTATAGTTAATTCACTCGGAAATCCAAGCAGTTGTAGTAGTATCAGTATACACTCTCTTTTTTTATGTTAAAAAATACGAAATCCAGTAAAAATCTCGAATTTATTTGGAAATTGAAGATCTTTGCTAAGTTATTTTATAGCGTAGGTATATTGTCCCTCTTTTTATCGAATGCTTTTTTAAATGTATTTCGAAAGAGAAATGAATGTATATGGTACAAATATTTAAAAAGCATACCTTATGAGCAAAATAATAAAAATAAGTTAACGCATGATATTTTATTAATGGGCCCAGAGATATCTGGATAATCATGAATTTTCACAAGAATAAATATGCTGGTGGTACAACAGAACCATTTTTTATCACACTAGATTGTTTTAACGACTATTTCTCGACTGCTACAGAAAAAAGTAAGATATTAAATAACAAAATTAGATGTGGAGCCGAGAAGTTTTAGGAACGAAACCACTTTCTCCTGTTTAATTTTCTTATGTCCAGTGATTGAAATGGAGATTAAAAATAGTTTACTTATAATTACTGGATCAAACGACTTACCTGAAGGAAGTTCGATCCTAATTATGCGAGCATCCTTGTTGGTGGAAATAAAGATAACCATATAGTATACCTATGTTACGCCGCTGACCCACATGTTCAGATTTAAAATTTTATTCTCTATCGCTGCCTGCCTAAATTACTCATTTATTTGGCTTAAATGCAGAACTAGCACATAAAATAGTATCTTCTCAACCAAAGTTTTACAACATTTACACATTAAGTAGCATTTTTCGAGTTGCAGTTAGCCGAGTTTGCAGTTTATAAGTATAAGATCAGAGTTAACACATCAGAATGTCGTCAGTCTGCTGCCTGGGTGCTAAAATGTTTAAATATGACATTCTAGAAGTAGCCTTCCTTGTACATTATTTGGCTTAAATAATGTACACATAAAATAATATCTTCTCGACCAAAGTTTTGCGAAATTTACAGATTAAGTAGAATTATTCGCGTTGTGATTAACTGGACTAAGTATAAGATCAGAGTTAATACATAAAGTAGCCTTCTCTGTACATTTATTTGGCTTAAATGCAGAACTTACACATAAAATAGTATCTTCTCAACCAGTTTTACAATATTTACACATTAAGTAGCATTTTTCGAGTTGCAGTTAGCCGAGTTTGCAGTTTATGAGTATAAAATCAGCGTTAACACATAAAGTAGCCTTCCCTGTATATTTATTTGGCTTAAATAATTTACACATAGAATAGTATCTTCTCGACCAAAGTTTTACAATATTTACACATTACGTAGCATTTTTCGAGTTGCAGTAAGCCGAGTTTGCAGTTTATAAGTATAAGATCAGAGTTATTTAATTTATAATGGCTGCTAAAACTTTTTTAAGGACAACAACGAGTGTCAACTCAACAGTTAAGACTACAGACTCGAACTACTCGTGATCGTTCGAACATGCACGAATCACACGCCACATATTACGTGGGGTCATAAAATTCTTATGCATTTTAAGAGCCAATTTAAAAGTTGTGATTTTTCTCTTACTAAAAATATAGCATGTAAAAATACCTCTGTATTAACATAAGCTTAATTAAGATTAAATACCTACTATTAAAATGAAAAGAGAATACGTTTATTATAAACCTTAATTTAATAATGACAATAAATTGACGTCACATTGACGTCGAATATTGGACGTTAAAAAGACTCTAAAGAAGAGACGTCATGTTTATATCTTTTTTTGGTAACATGACGTCGATAACCAATAATTACCAAAACATATCAGAATGTCGTCAGTCTGCTGCCTGGGTGCTAAATTGTTTAAATATGACATTCTAGAAGTGCCCCACAATCTGTCAACAATATTATTTTTCATCCATCCAATATAGAACATTGGGTTCCACAGGGATCTATATTAGGTCCTACATGGTTTATATTTTATTTACATGACACATTTCATTACATAAATCCAATAAAATGCGTGCTTTGCAGACGTACATCATTCCTGAATAGAGGCATCGATTTAAATGAATTAGATGGAAGAATTACTCATAGCATTCATAAAGTTAGAATTAGAAATTTTTCACCCAATAATAATCTTCAGTAATTCAAATCAAAAATATAACATGGGTTGTCATGTAAAATTTCTTTTGAATTTTTAAAGATGAAAAATTGAATTGTATTTATGTATGTAGGTATGTATTTATAGAAAATTTTAATCGTAAGCTTGCCAGTGCAAATTTCTACACATGTAGTATCTATAGACGTCTTTATAATATGCGCTACTTCTGCCTTTTCCATAGCCATATAAAATATGAAAAAATACGTGTAAGCGAAAACTCTTGCTTTGTATGTATGCATTTGTATGTATGTATGTATGAATGAAATACTACTTGAAGATCATAAAAATAAAAATGACTTATGTTTGAACTCTTCACTTTCATGACTATAATACTATTAATTTTTAAATTGTAATTTTGATGAAAAAACCTAAACCAAATATGGTGAAGGAAAATCTCATTTGAAAGATTATCGAAAGCATTACATATTTAATGTAATGTATGCAAATAAAAAAAATACAGGCTCATTATTACTATACAGAGTGCATTAAATAAGTAGTCTTATACTTACCAATTTTTACGAAATCAGTATTTTTTTTATAAAACATCTTATATATTTGTGTAGAACACACAAACATACTATTCTTATCAAACAAAGCTCTATTTATCTGTTGTCTTGATCTTATTTAAACCCGGTTTCTTACTTTTATTCCCTTTATTTTCACAGACATATTTTCCTGCCTGGGGAATACACCATAGCAGGAACGCAAGCCCTTTACGGCAGGGACAATCAGCTCGAAAAAATTCGTATACCTGGTCCAATCATGGAGCCTATTGTTGTTTATGTAAGTGTAGGAGATTTTTTTTACTACTAACCTGAGAAATCATAATTTAATATATTTTCTCTATCTATTGAGATGTTAAATTTATATTTCTAGGTAAATAATAATAATGAAAAACGTTTAATATTTTTAATTAAACCAATACAAACTTTATTGCTTGTATACCTACTCATTTATAAGTCAAAACCAAATAAATGTAAAAATCTTTTAAAATTATTGTTAATTTCTCTATTAATTTCTGTAATAATTTATCTGGTAATTTATCTGTTACTTTGCTTGTTAATTTCGCTGTTATATTCTCTGTTTAATACTCTGATATCTTTAATAATTTCTCTGTTAATTTCTTTGTTAATTTCTCTGTTAATTTCTCTGTTAATTTCTGTTAATTTCTCTGGTAATTTCTCTGTTACTTTTTCTGTTACTTTTTCTGTTACTTTTTCTGTTAATATTTCTGTTAATTTCTCTATTAATTTATCTGTTAATTTATCTGCTAATTTATCTGTTAATTTATCTGTTAATTTATCTGCTAGTTTCTCTGTTAATTTCTCTGTTACTTTCTCTTTTAATTTATCTGTTAATTTCTGGGGTAATTTCTCTGTTAATTTCTCGGTTAATTTCTCTGTTAATTTCTCTGTTAATTTCTCTGTTAATTTTTTTTCTTAATTTCTCAGTTAATTTTTTTGTTACTTTCTCTGTTAATTTCTCTGTTAATTTCTCTGTTAATTTCTCTGTTTATTTCCTTGTTAATTTCTGTGTTAATTTCTCTATTAATTTCTCTATTAATTTCTTTATTAATTTCTCTATTAATTTCTCTGTTAATTCCTCTATTAATGTTTCTTCTAATTTCTCTGAAAATTTCTCTGTTAATTTCTCTGTTAATTTATCTGTTAATTTTTGTTAATTTCTCTGTTAATTACTCTGTTAATTTCTCTGTTAATTTCTCCGTTAATTTCTTCTTTAATTTCTCCGTTAATCTATCCTGTAATTCATCCGTTAATTTCCCCATTAATTTATCCGTTGATATCTCCATTAATTTCTCTGTTAATTTCTCCGTTAATTTCTTTGTTAATTTATCCGTTAATTTATTTGTTAATTTTTCCGTTTATTTCTCCGTTGATATCTCTGTTAATGGTTCCGTTAATTTTTACGTTAATTTCTACGTTAATTTATTCGTTAAATTGTCCGTTGTCTCCGTTAATGTGTCTGTCCATTAATTTGTCTGTTGATTTTTCCGTTATTTCTCTGTTAATTTATCCATTAATTTCTTCGTTAATTTATTCATTAATTTCTTCGTTAATTTCTCCGCTAATTTTTCCGTTAATTTCTCCATTATTTTATCCGTTAATTTCTCCTTTAATTTCTCTGTTAATTTTTCTGTTGATTTCTTCATTAATTTTCTAGTTAATTTTTCCGTTAATTTCTCTGTTAAGTTTTCCGTTAATTGATTAGTTAATTTCTCCGTTAATTTCTCAGTTAATTTCTCAGTTAATTTCTCAGTTAATTTCTCCGTTAATTTCTTCATTAATTTCCGTTAATTTTTCCGTTAATTTATCCAATACTTTACCGGTTAAACTTTTATTACAAAATAATCGACCATTTCATTATCCTGTAGATTTCTAAACATTCTTCATATTTGTCTCGTGTTTATTTTTTAGATATATTACAGAGGCAACACTTGGAACCCAGGCGTGGAATACAAATACTCAATATGGAAGCAAGGAACAATGAACAAAATAAAATACTCATGGATACTGGGAGAATGGTCGCAGTGTTCAGTAACTTGCGGCGGAGGGGTTCAAAATCGACAGCCTCTCTGTCAAGAATCTGTAGTATCCACAATGGCAATGGAGCTGGAAAGACCCAACATGGTCGAAGAGTATTATTGTGAACCGGATGAAAAGCCAGATCATGAGATGAGAAGTTGCAACGAGGATAACTGTTCGACTAGGTGGTGGGTAGGGCCTTGGCAAGCGTGCACTGCTACTTGTGTTGGAAAGGTATGTATATTCAAAAATACGAGAATGGGATGAACACTTTCCAGCCTGACCTATAGTGGTCTGTGATTTTAATCATTTGTTTATTGTTTTATCTAATGCCATAAAATATTTCATTAGTTTTTCTGTATCCAGTAGATTGTATTTGGCGACCCGCTATACCTATAGAGTTCGAATTTTTTTTAAGAGCTGGATTCAGTTAAAAATATACTAGGAATATTTTTTTCGAGCTGCTACCAATGGGATAATCTTTTAACCTTTTAGTTCTTCTGCTAGTTATTTTCTACCTTTGACTCCTTGCTGTCTTTGGTAGTTGCTAGTTACCTACCTACGCCATGTACGACCTTTGCGGTTTCATCGCTCTCCGCTGGTCTACATATGCCTACATATTCCATGTTCTACCTTAAAACAAATGTTATAGGATAAACTGGATGCTAAACATTATCTGCTTAAGGGATCTATCAATCTGTAAGGTCTATTGAAAAAGCGGTGTTGCGTTTAGTTACCATTTTTTTGGGTAATTATTAGACGTACTAACCATTGAATCATGCGCTGCTTCGTTGACATATCTACTCTACATATGTATTCTGATGTGGGAAAAATTGATGAAAGAGTCAAGTGTTGCCCCTTCTACTACTGAAATCCTTTGTAGGCGAGTCTGCTCCATACTTTTCAACGGTCAAAACATTTATTGCAGATTCTAAACGTAACCGTATAAAAACTAGGAAAAAATCGACTTCGGTGGAAAATATGATTCTGAATTTTCATAAAATTGTTTTAAGTGACTATCGATTAAAGTCGTTGGAGATCGCTGAGACTGTGGGGATTTGATAAGAGCCTACCGCAGGATGGGTGTCCCATTTGCTACATCAGAGCAAAAGCTCATTCGTATGAACGTTTAAAAAAATCGTTATTGCTATTTAAGCGCAATCCAAAAAGACTTTGCGCAGATTTTAACCATAAATTAGTATTGGGTTTACTATTACATACCGGAAACAAAACAACAGTTTAGGCAATGGATAGTGAAAGACGAAAACGTTTCCATTGAAGAAAATGTTATGGCATCGGTATTTTGGGATGCAAAAAACAAATAGTAAATGAAAAATATTATGCTAACTTGCTTGAACAGAAAAATCTGGAGAAAATTTAATAAAAATTTATATTTTTACTACTAGAAATAGATAGATTTGCAGTAAAATAGAGTTTATTAGTATGTAAATACAATACTCGAATTATTTTACTGCGAATCTGTCTATTGTTGATAGCAACAACATAAATTTTCATGAAGTTCAAATTATGTTTTTTGTTGTGCTGAATGTTTATTATTGATTTTTTACTTTCCTATTTATTTAGCCCGGCTCTTTTTAAGTATCATCAATACATTTTCGGAATATGACCACAAAAAAATAAAACGAAATAAGTTAAATGTTTTTTATTGGTGTCTCTGGCTTCAACAACTAAGGTCATTAGCCTCGTGTTCTAGGTAGGTTATGGATTGTACTAATAGTCTAATACTCCACAGTGCAGGAGTATTAGTACTCTCATACTCCTACACCCCTTCAGACAGGCCTTGTTACTCTTTCCTTGCGCCACTTTAGGAACAGCACTGTTAATTAGAACCCAACCGTTAACGTTCGAGTGGGGGTACCAAGGCATTAGAATTAATTTTAAATAATTAAATTAAATAAAAAAAATTCGGCCAACGGTGAGATTCGCAGCTAGAGACTACCACTGAGCCACAAATACGTTAAATTAGAAATTCAAAAATTATGAATTACGATTAATCGTAACAAAAGCCATGAATTATCAAAAAAAGTATATAAAAAAATATACCGTGTCACAAGTTTATTATTGCGATGACAAAAATTAATTATATCGGCATTGAATTACTTCTCCATGCACTCTTCTCGCCAGACTTGGCCTCTTTGGATTTCAGTTTATTTCTAAACTTAAAAAAATGTCACACTGGTAATAAATATACGTCCGATTTGAAAATTATTGTTAGTACAAACTCCTATTTTAAAGAACTGGACGACGAATCGACCTATACGAGTGACACAAAAAACCCTTGAATTTATTTAAGTATGCTAGCTTCCTGTTAAAAATTTAACTGGTTATGGGCATATGAAAAGTGCTTTAATTAATAGGTTTGAGTTCAAATATAGTTAAAAATTAAAGCTACCAGTTTTACCATGATCCTAATAGGTTTACTTGAAGGCAAATCGGACTTGAAAACTTGGAATTGCAAGATGTGTATTACGTTAAGAGGCAATCTATGCGCTACAGATATTGTAGAGGTAAAATTAACGATAGAGGCAAATGAAGATAAAAATAAGAAATATAAAAGTGATCTGAAAAAGTTTACAAATGTAGACAATAAAACACTTCTTGGTATTACTACTAATATGTGTGAAGACACCCTGTAAAATATCTTAATATTCACAAATAACAGTAATGTATGTTTAGAACTACATAGACTTTTTGATGCCAGTGAAGAAGATAAAACATATTATATTAGATGTATGAAAGTCTTCAACTATTAAAAACAAGATGATATCACTAAATACATGTAAAAGTAAAAAAATGTATGGAAATAGTTACGAAAAAACAATGCTCTGCATCTACAGGGTGTCCGATAAAATGTTGGAGGTCTCTCGGATTCAGATATAACATTAAAAAATAAGATGACAAGTTTTCATAATTTTTTTCCTAGCGGCTCTCCCTACGGAGATACGGCCTCCAAAAGAATGCCACTGGAAATCAATTTTTCTTGAATAACTTTCAAACTACGTAATATAATTTAATGAAAATTGAATATGATAAATAGTAGTAAGAACCTCTTAAAATACTGCCCTTAAAACAATTAGCTTATTTAATTTACCAGGGGCGGACTAGGTTATGCATTTTAATGCTTACATTTTTAACACCCAGTATGATAGGGAGTTAAAAAAAGAAATTTCGATACCTTGAATATTAAGCTAAAGAAAAGGTACTCTTCTTCATTGTCGATAAAAAAAAAACCGTTTTCAAGAAAAAATAAAATAATTAATGTTTTATTTTTATTAAAAAAAAAATGATTTCCAATTTTTTTGTCTGCAGCAAAGTGTGATACGAAAGTCATTAAAATAGAAATGTTATCAGTATTAAAAATTGCACTGTTTTTACAAACGATACTATGGTACCAACGAAATAAATAAATGAATAATTGCATTGACCTGTGCATTTTAAATCTTGTTGACACGTTGATCTTTTAGTACTCCGGTATTAATTTATTGAATTTTGAATATCTTGGTAAATTTAATTCGATAATGGGATACACATTTAGTGAGTATGCAGCTATGCATCTTATGTACGGTCTTGCATCTTGCAATGCTTATGAATCAAGAAGGTTGTACGAAGAAAGATATCCTTATCGGAGTATTTCAAATGAGAAAACATTTTAGCGACTTAACCAACGTTTAAGAGAGACTTGTGGGCGATTCCCAGTTAATAAAGTAACATTATTGTCTTTCTTTAATAATTTATGGGAAGTTTTGGTGCTGGTGTGACAAGAACAGTACGTACGGTGCAATTCTTTACTGAAATGGAGACAGAAAATTCACCGTATATGAATGATCAACCCTCAACTTCTACAATATAACACAAAACTTACTAAAAAGAAATGACATTCCGGGTTTGACTATACAAAATTGTACTAATTTTACTATTAACTATAACTTTAAATAAATTATTTAACTTTAATGTTATTTTAGTTTTGCTAACCATAAAAATAAATATAAAGTTACATTACTTTTGTATTCTTTAAATTTGTGCAGTTGTAGAAAAAGTATAGTGTGCAACAAGTGGGGAAAGTTTAACTTTTCTCACATTTGTGGCACATCACTTGTAGGTCCTAAAAACTAAAAATATAGTAAAATTTGTTTATTTTTATATAGAACACACGATGCAATTGATTTTTATTAATTTATTTACTTATTACAACCTCAAGCGTGAATAAATGTTTTGTAGGTTATGTCATTCTTCTTATATTTAGGCTGTGAATTTTTTTTCCTGAACACTCAACATTAATGCGTTTGCTAGCGAATTATCAGATCGGCGTTTGGAAAAAAGTCATATTAATATGTATATAAACGTGTTTTTACAGGTATTTGGTGTTAATTTTTACCTATCAGCATTTAGAACGTTCTCAGAATATAAGGTACATGCTGGGTATAGTACTTTTAGTATCTTCTAAGAATATCCTGTTATAGCACGTATTCAGAATATACTTTTTAGAATATACTTTCAAAGCACGTACTCAGTATATACTTTCTAGAATATACTTTCAAAGTATATACTAGATATGTTCTAAGAACATTCTAGAAAGGACATACCAAATAGAACATGAACAGAACGTTCTTAGTATATTCATAGAACATTGATGTTATGTGGATTAACTGTTGAATTCTATCAACTACTGCAAATTTAATCTAAACTCAAAAATTCAAATGAATTAAGTTGGGTGCAATGTATTGAAAAATAGAAAGATTAGGGCGAAACTGGTAATACACTGTTAGCTCCTCAAACGACAAAATCAAAGGATTTGTTGTATCGAGTAAGTCGGTGGCGTTCTATGTTTTATAACACTGTAATACAATGTCTAGTTTAGTATAGGTACATATAGCACCGAAACTAGTTGAGATCATCCCGACTTAATGATAGGGACTAAAGGCATGGTGGCAATTGCCTTTCTTTTTTGACTTTGTATTTCATTTTTTTTTTCATCCCATCCTCGTATATTAATTGGAATTATTTCGAAACTGAAGGCATGCTCCATCTAGTAGAAATCGCCTGACATATTTACCAACAATAGTAGCGCCCTGAAGGTTACAGAAATATTTAATCAATAAATTTATTCGTCTAACAAAATACACATAGGTGGCTGCTAATTATTTGAAAAATAGAACAAAATGATTTTAGTTTAGAAAAGCAATATTAAATAATAGAAATTGTATTCAAAAATTAATGTAACGCTGCGATACATATTTTTTTAATAATTGTGCAAATAAATTCAAAGATTTTTTAAAATAAATTATTGTAGATTAGTTAAATAATTGAAATTTTAAAGGATTTAAATTTTATTCAGGTTACAAAAAAATGGTATTTTTTAGAATTTGTATTTAAAAATTTTATATTTTCATTTGAAATGTCTATCAATTAAAATATTATAGACGTAATTTAAGAACACTGATATTACAAAAAAAAAATTTAAAACGTATTATATTATCAAAATATATTTATTACTTTTAAATTTACTATATAGAATCTCTATTGTATTGCGATAGATGGTTAAAAATATGTAAATTCAAAATTGTAGGTACACGTATTTACAAAATAAAATATTATGTTTCGTTATGGCGATTGTTAATATTGACAATAAAAATCACCAAATAATATAAACCTATTGTTTTTATTCGATGTTGAATGATGAATATTAAATACCTTACCCAAATCACAAAGGATCCGAACTGGGCATTCTACTCTGTATCTGTAACGAATAGAAGATAGTTTGCCCCACGGCACTTAGACCTCAATAGCCCATTGCAAACCTGCCAAAATTTACTTGCCCCTCTTAGCTCGTCAGCCAGCCTACAGATTTGATGTAGCTGATGACGTCATCGAGATGTGCTTCTCTTATATAGGTCGGTGTTCGCCAATACTCGCCGAACACAAATCTCCTAAAGGCGGGTACAGATCTGAGCACGTATGCGTATGAGGCAAGCCGAGGCCGAACCGAATGCCTCGTGCGAAGCATTTAGTATACAAGAATGGTAGACACACAAGGCGCTGTTCGCCACTGATCCAGTAAATTCGCGAGCACGCAACCGTATACCCGGAACATTCGTAAAATTATAACAAAAATGAAGGATGAGGCTGACGTCGCGTGCATGTTTTATTATTAAAGAAAAAAGAAGAGAAAGGAATCGATGGCCAATTTCCTGCCAAGGATATTCTTTTTGTTTATGGTGTTGTAATGGAACTGGCGTTTTGCTCTTTTAAGATATGACGCTGATTATTTAAATCCAGGAGAAGCAAAACGTTTTCCTATTTCCACTCCATGCAAATGAAATCCTAAAAACTCGCTATAATCTGTACGGTGCTGTATGCTACAAAGTCCCCGTACTGCGCATTGCCTCTTTTTGATGTACCGCCATCAAACGGATCAGGGCGAGGCCGTACGGCGCACACCACGAGGCAATTTGTCGCGCCTCGGAAGCCCGTCCACATCTGCATGCTCATGCGTCCTCGGCTTGCCTCATACGCGTACGTGCTCAGATCTGTACCCGCCTTTATAAATGAGAGCTTCAGGCAATAGTAAAGAATATGCTCGATAGTTGAAAATAGTTAACAATAATTTTCTTATCTTTGCTTTCGCCAAAGTAGTTGTTTTTCGGAGTTAAACGGTGAAATATATTTTGTGGCTTCGAGAATTTCCCATTTTTACTTATTGTTCGACATTAAATGGCATACATTATATTCAAATAATGAAGAATTTTCTACTTTGTGTTATCAGTAGAGAGCAGAATATATGAAAAATGCATATATATGGATTTTTGCAAATTTTAGAATATTTCAGAAAATATTGCATTTTTCGAAAAAATGTATTGCTGTGTATTTTATGGAGGATTTTTTAGCAGAAGATTCAAATTTAACATCTACCTATTTTGATTGGGTACTTACCTACTTCAGATTTTGCTTTAGAACCATCGGGGTAGATATGAATCGTACCTGCCACTTCCAGCTCTTCTATTTGTTCTGTTATAACTTTGTCTGGCTTGTGGAAGATATATCTCGGTGAGATGGAGTTCATGCTCGCATGAAGCAGTGGGAGCGTATCGAGCGGCTCCTGCCAAAAGCGACGTCTCGCCTCACCTGATCCTACTGTTTTTATGGCTCCTGTTATGTTGAAAGATGCTGTCTCTTGATTTTGTTCTAGTTTACGGATAGCTATTAATTTTTGAGTTTTAGGTACCCACACAACTGCACTGTATGTTTCCATAGGTCTTATGATAGCCGTGTAAGTCCATGCAACGTTTCTGAGGGAAAAACCCCAGGTGCGCCCCACGGTTCAGCGGCATTGTTCATAAATAATGTATGCTCTTTTGACTGTTTTTTAAATGCGAGTTCCATGTTAACTTGCTGTCAAAGCTGAGGCCTAGGTACTTCACCTCTGTTGCAATGTTTAATTTTGTGTTTAGGAGTTCTGGAGGTTTTAATTCCATGTTTATCCTTTTCCTTGTGAAAAGAACAATTTCTGTCTTCTTAGGATTGATAGACAGTGAATGGTCCTTGCACCACTGTTCTATAATTTTTAGAGCGACTTGCATTCTTTCGCAGAGTATGTTCTCAAAATTCCGTTTGCAAAATGACCAGGTCATTTGCATATGCTACTGTGTAGTGACTGTCATTATTGAGGCGGCTGATGAGGGTGTCGAGGACCATGTTCCACAGTAGATTTGATAGCACTCCTCCCTGTGGACATCCCCTCCCAACCAAGCCTCTTATATTCACTTCTTTTACACTTATGTTTACTGCTCACTCTGAGATCAAGGTATGTATCCATCCACTAACCATATGTAGAACATTCCTGTTACTTAGTGAGTTTATTATCTTTGGGGAGGTGGTTTTATCAAAAGCACCTTCTATGTCTATGAAAACACCCAAGGCGGACTCCTTATTGTCCGAGGATCTCTCTATCCAGCCAACAACTAGATGAAGGGCTGAATGAGTAGATCTGCCTGGGGTGTATGCATGTTGGTTTGGGTGTAGTGGTGTTGTTGTAATCACTGCATCACTGATGTACCTTTCGCATAGCCTTTCCAATGTTTTCATAGAAAACGATGTCAGACTAATTAGTCGGTATGTTTTTGGGACAGTGTAATCCATCCTTCTAGGTTTGGGTATGAATACTTTTTTTTACCTCTCCATTTTTTGGGGATATACCTCAGAGCTAACGAGGATCTGAATATACCCACTAGGTGCAGTGTAAGTTTTTCCAGTCCCCACTGAAGTAGGGCTGGATAAATACCGTCAGGTCCTGGCGATTTAAAAGAATATAAGACGTTCTTAATATATTCATTATCAAATAAGAAAAGGGTTCTCATTTCATAATCAATAACACCGGCACACAAAAAAAAAACTTGTTTGTACATCAAACACAAAACCTACCTACCGGCATGTATTTTGGCCCGCAGAATCCGAATTTCAAGTCAGTTTGGTCCGTCCACCCTTCAATATCGAGTAAATTGTAAAAATAAGATAATTAGTAATAAAAAAAAATTATGAATCGAAACCAAGCAGAATTCTTATGTATTTCGATCCGCTGAATACAAATCTGAAGTTTATTTAGACTATAAACCGTTTTAAATCATAGAAATTGTACAAAAACCTTGAAAAATGTTAAATAGCAAAAAATTGTCGCTTGATGACGACGCCTGCGGGCCTGCTTTCTCACCCTGACCAGACGCCGATACTGGGTTTCCGGATCCCTGCATCGTAAAGTACTTATCACTTGTACCTGCACTTGTAACTATTATAATAATTGAGAACGTGTATTTTTGTATAATTACCGTAAAAAAAATTCAATTCAATAATTTATATTTAATTTTTCAGGGGAAGAAGGCGATAAAGAGACGAAGCGTGGTGTGCGTGGACGACAAGGAGATGGCGCTACCAGATAAATTTTGCGACAAAAAGACTAAACCTTTTGAATATAAACCTTGTCAAGCTTTACCATTATGCGAAGATGTATAACATAATTTATAACTTTAGTACTTACTCAATTTATATAGAATATATTTTTTAAAGAAAATTTTTATTAATTTTTTTACCAATTTTTTACTTTCCTCTAACGGGTAAGTATAGGAATTATAACTTTTTTGACCTAGAGTTTTCGACATATTTGTACGTTTTGACCGTCTAGCATATAACCTGTTTTGACAATTTTAGAGACGATGTTTGTCATCTGTGTGTGTGTCTGGGTGTCTATTTTAATACACAGAGGATGTTTAAAGGCAATCAAATAAAACTAAATAGTTGCCAAGTGATAAAATTTTATTAAAATTATGTGCAAATTGTAGTGCGAAAGTTATTTTTTAAAATATTAAGTGAAGTATACTGTTCAACTGTTTAACGCAGGACAAAGGTAATGAAAGAATAAGCTCCTTTCAGTATCTAAAAAAAATTGGTTAAATTTAAACAAAAATCTAAAATACTGCAATTATATATTATATGGTCATAGATAATTTTTAATAGACTTGACTAGCTACTTAAAAGATATACCTTATAGAGACTTCCGCAAATTGCGGCCATTTTTGTTTCTCTGTCATGTGTATTAAGTGAGGTAACTAACAAGATACCTTTCAAGTAGCAAACCAATTCTTATGTAAACAAATATACGTACTCCAATAAATATGCTCCAGGTCATAATCGATAATGACCCAATCTGAAGACCCGTCTGCTTGTTACATCTCATTAAGAAAATAACCATAAGTGACTTCAATTTTTTTGATTTATTATACCAATGTGTATCATATAATACGTCACCAAGCTCCCAACTCTATAAAATATTTATTAATAAAATAATAATTAATAGACACGTAATGCGAAGTTTTGTGGACAGTATGGTCCATTCTTGTGGACAGTATGGTGCAGTTTGTGGACAGTATAGTTTAGTCTTTTGGCAGTATAGTTCAATCTTGTGGACAGTATGGTTATAGTCTTTTTTTTATTTATTTTATTTATTTAGTATACAACACCCTAAATCAAGCCAATTATTGGATGAAGATTAACATACAATAATATATTACACTGAGATAGTAATGCAAAAATGGCACAAAGGAACAGTAAAGAAATTTGCAAAATAAACAAAACCAAACAAAAAAAAACAACATTTAAATACACAGTTTTATATTGCATATTATTCGTGAAAGTACATTACAAAAAAAAAACTCCAGTTAAAAAAATGTACTTTCACGCATCATTGAACTATAAAATTGAATTATATACCCATTTAAGACTTCAAATTTTCTTCTTGATACTGGTCAGACTATCAAAGAAAATGTCCAGTGAATTTTGCACCTCGGAGTAATTTTCACTCATTCTAAAGTAGTGAATATTTTAATACTTACAATGGTTTTGAGATTGGAAAATAGAATAATAGAGTGAAATGATTTACTGACTCTGGGCAATAAATTTTGTTAGTGACGTACCCAAAGAGGTACACAAACGACGAGTTGGAAATCATCAAATTTAAATCAATAAAGTAAGATATCTTGGAGTATTCCACAAGGTGGATAAATGTTGCCAGATTTTAATTCTAAGTATAACATATCTTCTATCAATATGAACTTGATATTAAGAATACCATAACTGAGATGCATACCTATTCTAATTTAGGTAGGACAAACATCTCAATTTCAAACTAAAACGCTTTTATACCACGGTATTCTCAATTTTCTTTGAGTCAGGTAGACAGTAAATATAAAAACAAATGATTTAGTTAATTTAAAATTTTCAAAATCACACACTTGACCTACAATGTTAAATTTAAACTTCTATCAAATTTACCATTATAAATTTTCATTGTCTTCATACACATTGAAGTTTTCAACAATTAAGTTGTGAAAGAAAATTTTTTGCTATTTTTAATTTGCAAATATTCAAAAATAAGCTTGCTTCAAGTTTAACAATATAAATTTTCTCATAAAAAATTATTAAAATAAATTAAAATTAATTAAAAAGTTTCCATACACTAAAAAGTGATATATTTTGTAATTGCAGCAATTGTCAAAACGATCTACTTTATACAACCAGTTGAATAATGTAGAACATTATGCAACTGATTACAACTAGTTGATTATGTCACCAATTACGAAATGAAAATAAATGAAAATGCCTCGAGAAAAATCGAAAAATGAAAAATTGAAATATCGAAAAATCGAAAAATCTAAAAATTTAAAAATCGAAATATAGAAAATTCGAAAAATCGCTCGGCTCGTCCCGCAAATATTTACTTGTTACACAAAATTAGGCTTTCGTAACTGGTTATATAAATAGCTATTATGTCATACAAATCAGTATTTAAAAAATCCGGTTTGATTTTATTAACATTGCTATTTTATCATAGTAGATACTTATCGCTGATGAAATTCTAGAAAAAGCAAAGAAAGCAACAGAAAGTCTGTTGCCAAAAAATTTTAGAGACGTCTACCGCCACGAATATGAACAATTTATAACTTGGTTGAAAGAAAACTGTGTAGAGCATATTATTGAAACTGAATTGCTTGGATACTTACCGATATCGCTGAATCATTTTCTGAGAGTTCCTTATGGTCAAAATATTCAATGGTAAAAATTTTTTATGAAAAATCGGATATTAACATCGCTAATTATCATAAGTTAACGAAATATTTAAAGCAGAGGTCAAAGGGGTGCCAACCAAAAAAATATAAAATCCTGTCTAGAGAAGATGTTTAAAATTTATTCATGAAGCACCAAATGAAACGTTTTTGATGAACAAAGTCGTTCTAATATTTGGTGGATGTCGACGACAAGAATCAGTAAATATGCTAGTTACTCACGTAGAAGATAGAAAATCAGTTACCATTGCGAACGTTTCAGAGACAAAAACCGATAAAAAGCACATTTTTACCATTATTGATGAAGATGAAATAAACAGTTAAAGCTAATAAAAGAGTACATGCCTTTACGCTCACGTGGTTGTTCAGAATAAAGGCTTTTTCTAATCTATAGACAAGGTAGATGTACTGTACAATCAGTTGGAAAAAACACGTTTAAAAAAAATCCCTTCCATTATTGCGAAATATCTGGGTTTGTCCCTAATAACACCGATCTGCCAGAAACATCCTATTTAGGTTCCATGTATGTTTTTATGTTTCTGACATAAATGGTACGTCCCTATGATGTTTCTAAAGAAACATTTCTCTAATGATTTCTCAAGAACGTTTTAGAAGCATCGTAATTATGTATAGGTATTCTATTTTCGTTTTAAATATTATTTTGAAATATCAATAAATTATAAAAATACTGCAATCACCAGAAATCTACAATAATACCAAATTCCAATTAGGCATTCCAAACTGAATGCCTACCAGTGGGCTTTGACGGGTTATGATATTGCAAAATTATGGCAACCCACCAGGTCGATTTGACAAGGTCAATAAAATAGATAGTTACATAGATTGATTATCCATATTTTTCAAAATTAACATATGCCTTGAAGTAAAAATGTAAGCAATTATTTTTTTTTAATATCTAAAGGCTAAAAATTGGTTTTAAAACACATTTTTGCTAAACCAATTCAAATTAATAAATATTTGCCAGGCAATATGGCCGCTCGTAAACGACCAGCTTTGAGCAATCTATATAACTATATATGTACCATTGACCCTGTTAATGACAACAGGGTTGCCATATCTAAACTGTCATTACCCACTGGTAGCCATTTGGACAGGTCGTTGGAATGCCTAATATTAAACATTTTGAACAATATTTTTATTTCACAACTACTGCAGGTCAAATTTATCTTTACAAATTCCTTCAAAAAAGAGTGCAAATACGATAAAGATGAATATACCCTTCTTGTGCACCCAGGGCTGGTATATCTAAGGGGGTTGCGACATAGCGTCCAATAGTAGTCACCAGGCCTGCGAATATAAGAAAAAAATATCACGTTTTTTTTTAAATTACGTTTTCATTATAAAATTTCCAGATTTTTTAGGATAAAATATTTCAATTTTATCAAATAATTAATAATCTCACGTGTACCTTACATAGTATACGTCGTGAAAAGTAGATCACTTTCTATTTTGAGCTGTTTTGATTTGGTTTATTTTAAAAGGTAATATGAAGAAATGAAGACAATTTTCTTATAGATGAGGATATTGAGGATGCAGAACAAATTGTGGCTCCATTTTTTAGGGCTCCAGTCCTCTAAGTCTATTTATTTTAGGACTTTCTAAATTGTTGGCAGGTATTATTTACTTCATTTGTATGTTTTTATTTATTTTGAATAATAATTTTGTGTAATATCTTGTGATTTGTTTTCTATACATTTTAGTATGTATTTGTTCGCTACAAAGGATAACTTTGAAATACCCTTACAACAGAGGTACTTTTCTAAAACTGGCCGAAATTTGAAAGCGATTTCAGTTCCTACAGAAAATCTCGAATAAAAAAGAAGCATTTGTCTGCATGCAGAATAAGAGTAACATAGGTTAACAACGCTAGCAAAAAAGATGGACAAACCTTTGCCTAGCTTTGTTAATATTTCAGAGCAATAGTGTTAACAGTAGACCACAACAAGAACAACCGAAGTTTAGTATTCAAGCAAAATATTTTATTATCTCCAGAATTATAAACTTACGTAAACAATAATAATTTAACGATAGTTTAATTTATTTATAGTTTATTTATTTAAAACACACCACTATTTACAATTTATTTATGACGTAATAATTAATTTATATAATACTTAGGCACTAACTCACAATTCTAATTTATTTATTACAATTTAACTTTTCTGTCCAACACTTTATTCGAATCTACTCATCCGTCGATAAGTCGCTCTATTTATACCAAATCCAACTCTGTAGGAGAAGTTTCTAGACGATGTGGAATGTCCTAGAATTCCATCTCTATGACTCAACGGCACGTACCGCTTGTTCTGGTAGTTTCTCGAGAAGCGGAGCGTTTGTATATACATCAACGATGTTTCTACCATGAGTCGAGTGGAAGGCTGAAGGTCGCGCTCTACAGGGACGGCTTAGGCATTCCCATGACAATAAGA